CGATATCTTGAGTACTGAGTGGGCGCCTGTCGCCAATTTGCTGTTTCGCTGTTTGCATACATGACAAGTTGAATAATCGTTGTGTGATTTCACACCAGTCCTTCTGAGCCTCTTTTTTCTCCCTGACCAAGATTTGTGCTGCATGGCCATAAGCGCCGAAAACAAAAGAACTGGGGGAGCAGGACTGATGCCCCTCAGTGTAGAAGGGGCTGGCTGGGAGTTCTTTTTCAAAAAAAAAAAAAAAAAAAAGATTTTTTGGTCAGGTGCCGCCAGCCTTTCTGGTCCGCCTGTAGGCCGCACTGCGACTGGTTCGCCATTGTGTTGGAACAATACAAGCTGGGAAAGGGTGGGTGGTGGTGGTCCAGGGCTCTAAGAGCAAAATTGTCGAACTGTCATGCGGGCAAGCTGTGTATCGGCTGCTTGTTGTCATTGTCCAGCTGGAAGGAAAATGAATAATTAATAATTACCGAACAGGCTATCGTCATCCTGTTCTGGTTGTCGTCGTCGGGTTCTGCTTAAAACTTAACACTTGATGGTTATGTCTTTCCATCTCTGTTATGATCTGGGGTCTAATCAAGGAAGGCCTTTTCCCTCAGTCATGAACAGCCACAGGTAGAACAGCAAAAATTTCAGCACAAAAATTTCAGAGCAAAAAGATCAGAGCAAAAATTTCAGAGCAAAAATTTCAGAGCAAAAACATCAGAGCGAGAAGATCAGAGCGAAAAGATCAGAGCAAAAATTTCAGAGCAAAAATTCAGAGCAAAACTTCAGAGCAAAAATTTCAGAGCAAAATGATCAGAGCAAAAAGATCAGAGCAAAAAGATCAGAGCAAAAAGCAGATGCGGGTCTCGAATCTGGCAGGCTGGAAGGAAAAAAGGGCCTTCTTCTTCTTCTTCTTCTTTTTTTTTTTTTTTTAGTCTCCTCCTCATCAGGGGACAGCTATATATATTTTTCAACTGACCTCACATATTTTTTAACTGGCGTTCTGCCATGTCATCATGGCACATATCTTTTCTTCACTTTCACTACCTACCTACCACTACTCCTAAGGCTATACAGGGGACCCCTGCAAGCATAGCTTTCTGCCTCTCTTCGGTGAAGGGAGGTTGCCTCTCTCAGTGGAGGGAGGTAACGGCATGTTCACCCCTTTGCCGTAGGCCTATTTAGAAAAATAAATAAATAATAATAAAGATGTTGCAAGAAGTTGGTTGCAGTCACACTAGACCACAAGTTTGGTCTTTCACCCTTGGTTGGGGAAAACAAAAAAGCAAAAAAAGAAAAAAGAAGAAGAAGAAGAATAGGTAAGTTCCAGTAGTAGGGTGATAGATTCAGGTCTTCGGAGCGCTGGACCCGTTTTCCAGCAGGTGCAGCTCCCCACCAATAGATGGAGCAGCCGAGAGCTACTACTAGCGGGGCCTGCTCATATCACCCCCTCGAGTAGACAGCCCTGGCTCTGAGGAGGAAGCATAGTTAGGTCTCTTAGGAGCTATGGGGGCGAGTCTGCACAGACTCTGAGGTGTATAAGGAACACAATCCATGTCTAGTAGTTACACTCACCGACGTCCGTCATTTCAGGCGGCGAATCTGTTTAGCTTTGCCTGGCTGATTGTGGGCTCTGTTTCTCCTGTGCTGAATGGTAAGTTAGTCTCCAGTAGGGCGCTGCACCCGTTTTCCAGCGGCAGCGGCCACAGTTTAAAATTTTAAATAAACAGGCCTCTGCTGCTGGAGGACTACAGCAAGAAATAGATCGCTTCATGTCTGCTCGCTCTGGCCAGACCATTCTGCTCCTCAGGCAGACTTTGATTTATTTATTTGTAAAGGGTGCGAAGCCAATTGATGTCGAAACACCCAAAGAGTGCTTAGTTAGTCTCACCCTACCGAGCGCTGACGGATTTTTTTCGGTAATGCTCAAGTATGGGCTGTGCTCTTTCAAGTCCATCGATTTAGGCTCCTTCCCGTCTGCTGACTGTGTAGACAACCAGACCAGCGCTGCACTGTGCGCCTATTAGTGCTAGGCTGCTGCTACTATCAGACAGAGAGTCAAATGAACTCAACGTTTTTTGCACGAGCACGCTCGAGGGGTAGGAGATTGAATATAGAAAGCTTTATTGGATGTGGGTAATGGGCCCAGTACTTGCAGGGTCAAGCTGTTTGGTTCCCGGGCTAAAGTTTTCGGCATTAGATAACGCAGCCATGCATTAAAAAAAAAGAAGTTAAAAAAAAAAAAAAATAGTTAAAAAAAAAAATCGTCCGGCTTCGGTTGTCTTCGTCCGTTTTTTCTTGTTATCATCATCGTCTGGTTCTGGTTCCGTTTTCTGTTGACATCATCCGGTTCTGGATTATCCTCACCGTCCGGTTCTGGTTATTGTCAATGCCCAGTTCTGTTTATCGTCATCTGGTTCTGGTAATCATTGTCCATCTTTTCCAAGAGAGTAACGGTGGTGGTGTTTTTTCTTGTGATCTGCCTGCCGGCCTGCCTGCCGGCCTGCCTGCCGGCCTGCCTGCCTGTTCGTCACATATACGATGTGTCATCCGCTTGTTGGCAGGGCGATGAAGTCCAAGGGGCGCTAACCCTTGCAGCAGAGAAAAGTAGGGATTCCCGGCAAGCAGGATATCGGCTCCTGGTGGCCAGTCGATACGGGTGCCTGGGCTCTATTCGTGCCGCAGTAAGGGCGCTGCTGGAAGCACATTCGCGCAACCCACAGGATGAACCAGAAATCCTGTTTGTGCTCTGGAGTATTGGCCGGAACAATCCGTGGCTCATTGAATGCTTGAGTGACGAGCTACTTCAGGTGAGAGAGAGGAAAAATGATGTCATACGATCTTGCAAGTTGTCTTGCTCTCCTGCATCCTGTCCATTTGCCGCAGCTGTGTAGTTCTAAAAGTGAAATGTGTGTATGTGTGTGTGTGTGTGTGTGTGTGTGT